CATCTCAAATACTGCCATATATATCGGCTTACGATAATTACTAATATAATATAATAATCAATGTAATGTATCGATAATGATAATAATGCAAAACAATTACTTATTATTAAAAATATGTTAATGCAATATTTAGTACCCAATAAATAGGCAACATCACCCAACATTAGATAATTATTTAGTTTTTTTAAAACAATTATAAAAACTAAAAACATGTACTTAGTGATGGACTACAAAATCCTATCTATTTTTTTGTAAAACAAATTATAATGATTTCTAAATTTAAAGGTAATAAAGTTTTATTTATTTATCAGTATTTATATTTAATATTTACATTATTATGAATATTTTATTAATATTAAATTTAAAAATAAATTTTGTTACCGTAATTATAATATTAGTATAATTACTAAATCATGTTATAATAAATTATGTAATTTATAAAAAAATTCAAAATAATATAAAATGCTAAATTTATATACCCTAATTTATTTAGAAAATTTATTCAATTAAAAATATTGCAGTCATAAATTTATATTATATTGTAAATATTAATTTATAAAAATAATAAAAATATAAATTAACTATAAATATTTAAAACAATGATAATTAATGAAAAAGTAAAAACAATTAAAAATAAATTATTTAACTAATAATTTGTTAACAGTAAATAAATATTAAAATTATAAAATATGTTTTATTACATAAATATTAAATTTTAATTAGATTAGATTATTTTCTAATATTTATTAAAAAAATTATATTATAATATCTATTGTTTTTGTTATTACATACTGTAAATGTATGTATCATACATATCGTAATAGTATATGTATTTTGTTTTTTATTTTAATTATTATATTGAAAAAAATAAGTTTATAAATACAAGATTAATAAACAAAATATAAATAATTATATATAATTATTATTATTATCTGTTTTATTGGTATTTATTATATTATTAATTTCCAAATAAAAAATACAAACCAAAAATTTTATATGTTCTCTATTATCGCTGTATTTAATTAGACCAAATAAATATTGTTGAGTAAACCTTTATTATTAGCATTTATTACATACAATATGTACTGCTATAACACAATTATGAGGGATTGACTGAACTGCGGTCAGCAATGGGATATTCTGCGGTCGGCTATATCTCGAATACGGTAGGTCAGATGTTGCGGTCACCAATAGAAAAGTTGTAGGGAACAAAAAGTTTATGTTGAAATGTATGGTCAAAAAAAATATCTGACCACCAGGGACCACATAAAAAAATTAAAACTTGTTTTTTATCAGTAATGATGCTGCGATTAACCTGGAATTAATTTTGGAAAACCAGTAATCAAAACTTGCTGTTAAACATAAAAGTTTTTGTCAATAAAATGGTAGAAACAATGGTACACTTGAAAAAATTTTAGGTCCATCTGTGGCCTTAGAAAAAAATAATTTTTATTTTTAAAAAGTGGCGGTCAGTGATTAACTATAGAATTATTGATCCTTTCTTTTAATTAACAACTTTTATATGTCCACAAGTTGTTCTTTATTTAATAATTGACCGTCACTTTTATAAAATAAAAAATATATGGTAGACCTAAATTAGTTTATGTAAACCATTGTTTCTAACTTAATTGTCTAAAACTTTTATATGCTTTAGATCTGAAAACTGGTCATTGACTGCAAATTTTTAATAAAAAAGTTTGAATTTATTGCGCCTCATGGTGAACCAAGATTTTTTTAATTTAACAATTGTTTCTAACATTTTATTCTCCTTAACTATTCTACTGGTGACCGCAACATCTGACCAACCATATTCAAGATATGGCTGACCGCAGCATCATTACTGATAAAAAACAAGTTTTAATTTTTTATGTGGTCCCTGGTGGTCAGATATTTTTTTTGACCATACATTTCAACATAAACTTTTTGTTCCCTACAACTTTTCTATTGGTGACCGCAACATCTGACCTACCGTATTCGAGATATAGCCGACCGCAGAATATCCCATTGCTGACCGCAGTTCAGTCAATCCCCAATTATGACCACAAGTTATTCTCTATTCTCTTGTATTATAAGCTTATATTGTATTCAATCATATAATTTGAACTAAATTACTATAACAATCAAAAACTTGTCATAAATGTAAAGTTTGGACACATTTCTCATAACATTTAGTTGATTTCATTATAACTTTTAACATAAGTATTGTTTATAGAGTTAATTAAGTTTTAAAAAAGTGAGTTTTTTGTCATTGTGTTCATAGATGCAGAGCATTTGACACGCATTGGCTCATATTAGTACTAAATATGTAAGGGTCAGTTTGTGAATTTTTATTTTAAAAAAATATATTGTTGAGATCTAAGTTTAAAATTATATTTTAAGTGGCATTTATAACATTAGATTATAAAATAGTTTTGTTACCATAACAATATAAATTTTTAAATTAAACTATGATTGGATTATGTCAATTGCTCTCATGACTGATTGTGTTGAGTAATGCTATCATCACAGACATCAATAATGACTGACTGGACAAGGATTCAGATGAACGCCACTGTTATAAAGACTAAATACAAAATAGCTAGTGATGGCTATAATGTGAGAGGGGATGCAATTGTGCTATTGTTGTGCCAGTTATGTGACATACTGTTGATTGATATGGAGATCTCAATTGATTGATATGGACTAAACCCCTGTCTATAGCTCTGGTGTATAGCACTGGAGTATAGCATTGATTTTGTGAATCGCTTTACTCTCCTACACAACAATGGAGTCAATATGCTGTTTAACGGCATTCAATTACCCGACTCGGGTAACCTTTAGCTCAGCAACGCATACATTATTGTGTATTTCTACAATTGTTGTTTTTATTTCATCAAAATTATAAAATAAACATTTTATAAACTGTACCTGAATTAAATTTCAAAAATTACCAGTAATTTCAGTAGTGTCAAAATACTTTTAATAGTACTTTAATAAGTAACTTAAATAGGCTATATTATATTTATACACACAATCAATTAAATGTTAACTGTAATATATATCAGATAATTAAATTTGTTGAACTTTCAACTTGTATTCTATAAAATTTAAAATACAAGTCAACAAAATTTTTTAAAAATAGAGTTTATATATATATATATCTTTATATAAACTGCGGCAATATTATACTATTTATGCTATGTATAGTGATTATATAAGTAAAAAATTGAAATTTTGGCTTTCAGTGGATTAAATTTAGTACTAGTTATACTATGGTTGGGAGAGAAAATATCGCCCTTTCGGCACCACTGAAATGTTGTATACAGTATATTACTGTACTAAGAATAGATTTGAATCAAAAAAGTATTAAGATATATATATTCTTTTTTAATTTTATAACTTCAAAATGCATAATTTTATGAAGAACTAGCATTTTATTTAATTATATTTAATATATTATAAATTATATTACTATTAAAACATTTATTATTGTATACAAACATACACACACACATACACACATTCTCATATACAGTGACTCACACATAGAGCTACGCTGAAATGCCTAACCGATAGTGCTTCGACTCTTCGTATGCTTTATAATGTATTGCCAGTTGATGATGCTAGCGTAGTGTCAACACTGTGTTCTATGTGTTAAATACAGTACATTATATATAACATAATATATTAATCAATAATATTTGTGATTTTAATTTAATCAATAATTTGTTAATTATTAATATTTTGTGAATATTATTTTTGTGCCGATACCTACACATCATACTGAACACAACCATGTAAGACATAATACATAATTATTTATAGTTTAAATATTTATCGATCGGTATAAAAATACATATAAATCCCATAGACCTGTCAATCATAGCAATCCTGTGCTCTGGTTACATCACTGCATCAACAGTTGCGTAACTATAGAATATTTTAGAAGCATAGCCTTAACAATACATTTATTGATTAGTAGATTCACTTTATAATAATGCTTTGCATCCATTGTTTTATTCAGTTACTCGCTTGCTATCATAGAGCACGCATCTCTTGTTTTTCAGTTTATTATTACTATACACTATATTATATTGTATTCTAAACAATGTGTACACCCTATATATTTCAATGTGCAGTTAACTTTAAATAAAATACAGTTTTAATTCTAAGTGATTGTATACACTTGAGACGGAACCTATGGAACATTCCTGTTAATTAATAATTATTTATTAATTATTTTCATCATTCATCAACAACACTCAACATTGGCTTTTTTATCACAGCTTCGCTTCAATGACGGGAAAGTCAACCCCACACCCGTCACAATTTTAACTAAAATCAAGTTTTTAAAAATATAACAGATTTCAGAAAAAATGTTTATAATGCTTAATAAATCGATGGAGTCAAGCTATAATTTAACACAAATAACAATAAGTTTTCGAGGTTTTAGAGATATTAAGTTTTGGCTGATCTACATTATACTATATAAATCCGTATAAGCGGTATTGTTAGTATAACTAAATATTGTATATGGGACCAATTATACGGTTCATCAATAGATTATGTTGCTAAATTAGCATAATACAGTATAGTTTAGATACATATAGTCTATAAGTAATTAGTATTAAACAGTCTAATAAATTACTAGTAAATTCACTTAAATATTAGGTTTAGTTAGTTTGGGGTTAGGTTAAGTGAATGGCGTGCGGTAGCGCACTATTTACGATGATTAGGTTAAAATTTAGGTTAGATTTAGGTTTATATTAGATTTAAGTATATTGTTTATTAATTATACTGTATCAATAATAATATCTATATAATCTAATTTAAATCAAATTTGAAAAATTATATTATTATATAAATAAATAATATACTGGTAATCAAATTAGAAAAAATACAAATAATTAGAAATTAAAAGTTTTTTATTTGTTGTACGATTAAAGTAATCACTAAATTTATATTATAAAATTAAAAATTATATTAACAAATAAAACTTAATAAATAAAACATATGACATATTTAATGATAATTGATGTAAAGTAATGATTCAAACGAGTCCGGCATCTTTGGCGAGGGAGTAAAATATTGTTTGATTATCATTCAGTAGATTATTAGGTGAATCAAACTCAGCCACCCGTCCCTCGTGAAGAACTAACACACGGTCTGAATCCATGATTGTATTCAATCTGTGAGCTATTGTAAGGACAGTACATGACTTGAATTCATGTCTAATAGTTTGTTGTATCAGTGCGTCGGTCTCCACGTCTACCGCAGCCGTGGCCTCATCGAGAATAAGTACAGCCGTGTGTCGGAGCAGAGCTCGAGCCAGACATATGAGTTGGCGCTGACCAACACTCAGGTTTTCTCCGCCTTCAGACACACGATAGTCTAGTTCTGTGTCTTGTGATTTGACAAATGACTTGAGATGTGAGTTCTCTAATGCTTTCCATAAGTCATTGTCTGAAGACTTTTCAAACGGATCTAAATTAGAGCGAATGGTTCCCGAAAATAATATCGGATCCTGAGGTATGATTGTTAGACGTGATCTCAAGTCTTGGAGACCCATTTGACTGATATCAATACCATCGATGACTATTTTACCGAACACTGACTCAATAATTCTAAAGAGTGCCAAAGTTAGTGATGACTTCCCGGCACCGGTTCGGCCAACGATTCCAATCTATTAAGAAAATAAAAAATTTATTAAATTAAAGTAAAACTAATCTTTTAATTAGTAAAATGTTTACCTTTTCTCCCGGTTTTACATTTAAATCAACTCCTTTTAATACCAAATCCAATCCCTCTCTATAACGAGTGCCATATCCTTCAAAAGTTACCTTTCCTTTATCAGGCCAATTGTCCGGTACCTTACATTGTGTTTGCCAATCAGCCTCCCTGTCCACCTGACTATATTCATCAATACGTTCGACGGCCACCACATTATTTTCCACTTCGGCAAACATACGGACACACATATTAAGAGCTAATGTAATATTCATGGCATACGATATCGAGAGACCAGCACTTCCAGCTGTCATTCCGTCACCCGAATTGCGGGCCAACACAGCAAACAGTGCGGCAAAAAATATCAGACAATTAGCTAACACCTCGAGCCGCACCTGAAGCCAACAATTGGCAATAGCATTGGGATAGTAGCACATCATGTTGTTGTCCACACGTTTGTCTGACTCTTTGATAAACCTATCACTACAAGCATAGGCTCTTATAGTGGACACACCATTAATTGTTTCGCTGAAATGAGTATATATTGGCGATCGAGTAATTGACTCTAATCTTTAAAGTTTAAAAAATATCATAAATTAATAATAATAATAATTACGGTATAATATAAATAACAAACCTTTTTAGTTGTCTTGAAGTTATGATATAAACTTTTTGTATGAGATAATAGATAATAAATATGGGAACAAATACGGCTATAAACAATGGTGTTTCTATTGTTATGATTATGATTGTGGCCAACACTGACAAAGTGGTGTTTAATAATATCCTAAATAATTTTAATAATTTATTATATTAATAGTAATGAATCAATGAATTATTAAAACATAAATTATATACAAATACTAACCTCAACGACATTTGCATCAAAGTGTCCAAAATGTCTATATCTTTGCTAAATCGGTTGACTATACGTCCTATAGGTGTGGTATCAAAGAAACTCATCGGTGAGTGCATCATAGCATTCATCAATCTTTGATGTAATGTCTTGGATGCCAACAGTGTACCGGTTACGATGGCTACCCAACCAAGAGATACGGTCAGTGCCTGGACAAACCCAATCAGTGCATATATGCCAATATAATAGGCATTTTGATCGGCACCGGTATGATCGCCCCATTTGGATAACCAGAAACTAGAACCAGAACTACAGCCATTTGTAACGATATAGCAAAACAGTATAACAAAAGTCCAGAATAGAGACATAGATTTGGCATATTTAGCATAAACCTGATGTAAACAATATTCAGATATTATTATAAATTTATATATTTATAACTATAGTTATATATAATATACCGTAATCTTAACACTTCCCACTTCAGCCTTTTCAGAGTCAACCAGTTTTGACATATCTTTCTTGTCATCGTTTGCATCGTTGTTCACGATTGTTGTAGTCTTCTTACGCCTATTAACTACGGACTTCTCTTTTTCATTGTCTTCAACTTCCTCTTCAGTCTTATTCATAGAGTATTCTTTAACTAATTCTGCAAAATCTTTGTCCTCATGAAGTAAGTTATCGTAAGTACCAATTGATCCAATTTTCCCATCTTTTAGTACAACAATCAAATCGACATCCGGTAACACAAAGAGTTGATTTGTTACCAGAATTCTGGTTTTATTCTTCAAAACACCGGTTTTTGTATCTAAAACTTCAGTCATTATATGTTTGCCCACATGTGCGTCAACTGTTCAGAAAAAACAAAATATATATTATATACAGATTATTGTTGTTTTGCTTTTTACTTACCGGCGCTGAGCGGATCATCGAGTAGATAGAGATCGACATCAGAATATACAGCTCGGGCTAAACTGACTCTTTGTTTTTGACCTCCGCTTAAATTAATGCCTTTCTCTCCAATTTCTGTGGCGTCTCCGGCAGACAATTGATGCAAATCCTGTTTGAGAGCACAACTCCGGATCACTTGATCGTAAAGTTTATTATCCAATGGTTTTCCAAACAATATATTTTCCTTTACGGTTGCATTTTGTATCCACGCCTGTTGGGGAACGTATGCTATTTTGGTACCACCTTTGATGCTAACATTTCCGGAGACTAATTCCATTTCACCCAACAGTGCCGATAGGAATGAGCTTTTACCGGAGCCGACACTACCGACTATTGCAACAAACATGCCGTCATTGACTCGCAAATTAATGTTATCGAGTGTAGGAACTGCTCCATTGCGGACATCATCGACTGTATCCCATGTAAACCGGCCATTATCTATACTAACCATCTCTGATGAACTGTACGAACGTTTTACATAACCAGACAATTCAGGGAAATCTAAAAACTTATTCAAACGTTTTACTGATACACTGGTCTGAAATATATTAATAACAAAATTATAAATTGTTAATATTATTAATTAATTAATATAACTAATTATAAATTCATTTACCAGAACTAAACCGTTGATCATATTGGGAATCATTAGGAGTGGTATTCTTAGCAAATTAAACAGTGATATTGAAACAAATATTTTGCTGGCGTCTAATACACTATCGTTGATGACTATGTATAGACCGAAAGTCATCAATGAAACAAACAGTGGAGTACACGATGCGATACATATAAATATTGTGAATATCCAACCGGAACGACGCAAAAATTTTATCTCCTGTTCCCTAATATGTTGTATCATTTGGGTGAATGCCTTTTCCCAAGCATACAACTATCGATAAGTAAATTAAATGATAAACCATTAGTTTTGAGACTTAAAAACTGTTATATCGTTCATATATATTACTTTTAAGACTTTAATACCGCTAAGAATCTCATTCATTGTTTTCAATCGTTTGTCTTTGAGTTTCATTTGTTTCATTTGATACTGTTTTACTTTGGCCGCCGTCACACCATTTATCGGTAAAAATAGTATCATAAGTGCGAGTCCACCGAAAACGGCAGTTCCCATCTCATTATACAAAAGATACACAGCTATACCCATCTGTATGGGAGCCGTATATAAGAAGCTAAGCCAAGGCAACAGATCTATATATATATAAATATTATTATTAGTTTCATTTCAAATAATAAAATTGATTATTATTTATACCTGAAAATCGTTGGCAGTCAACGGCCATAATGTTGACGATCTCACCGGTTGTCGTCTCCTTTTTTGCCGAATTGCTTAATACAAGTGCTTTACGATAGACGGCTGATATAAGACAGGTCTTTATGCGCATACCTTTATATTAAAAACATTACATTATTTTTTTTCTCAATTTTTAATATTTATGTTAAATCAAAAAAAAAATAATAATCAAATTAGTGATTAATACCCAATACAGTCATACGTTGCGACTGATATGAAGTGACCAAACTGTTGAAGACATTTGTGAACACAAATAACAGGGCATATATGTATCCGTGCCAACTGGGCTCAGTTGATGAGGTAAAATTGATTAATAATCTATAAAATTTAATTATATTATTATTATTAAATTGACTTTTAAAATTTTATTAATAGCCAATAATACATTATTATACAGTATTTTGTTGTGTGTGTGCAAAGATTACAGTTTATGTTTATACAGTACTAAACTTTATACACAATTTTAAATATAAAGTACCGCTATTACTAAACAGAGTTAGTAAAGTATAAGCAAAATACAGATATAAACTATTATTAAAGTTATTAAAAGTATTTTTCACTTAAATTAACTAATTAATTACATTTATTATAATATACTTTACTTACTTAAGTATCATAGGATTGGCTAACTGTAAGCAATCGGTGAATAGTCTTATGAGACACGGGGGCAAAAAGTAAGCCCAAAACGCCTTTCCCACTACAATGGCAATGTTGCTTGATGCTTTTTCACCAATTTTATTACTTTCCTTTACCAACCCATTTGTTAACGATTTATCTAACTTTTCCATTGCTTTATGTTCTTCATCACTGTATTTATCACTTTTCCAGTACTGATTGAAATATTTAAATATATTTTTAGTACAATCCTCGCGACGAACGGCCCATAAGTCGTGGACAGTCAACGGATTTCTCCAGCCTTTGATTATCAATGATGTCAACCAATCAAATGATAGTCTCGATGGAAATGAAACGTATTCTTTGGGACAGACATTGCCATTGACTTCAATAAAATACTCGTTTTGTGGTAAACGGTCGGCAAATGAACAGATAATTAATAAGAGAGTCGTCAATGAAAACTCTGTACAATACAGTGCAAACTCATGTGTTTGTCGATAGTCTTGTGTCGCATAAGTGGCTACCGATAAGGCGCCCAAAATAGTATCAAAAAACAAATAAAACCACACAATACCGCTACAGTGGACACCGGCCCGTCGATGTCCGTATAGTACAAAACATATGGCCAATCGTGATATAAATTGTATGGCTGTTGCAATAATATATGAAGTGCTGGGATTATCGGCCCATTGAAACTTACGACACAAACTTAATATAAAATCAATAAATGTTATAACTGTCCAAACGATTGCCACCAATAATCGCAAAATATTATATCCGTTCCAATTAATCGGTGGTTTCTTTGACCGAATGCAGTCTATTATTAAATACGGCAAAAATATCCACAAAAATATTGCCGGAATCCATACAATAAATGTTTCGATAATACATGAGCTTAATGTCGGCGATTGAGTTTCCCAACTGATCTCTGGATCCTAATATTAGTAACGAAATATGACTTTTAATTGAATTTTTATTTATATTTAACTAACTTTATCAATGAAATAAAAAAATATTGTARTATTTAGTAGAATTATCATTTTTAAAAAAATTAATTATTTAAAGTACAATTAAAATTTGTCAATATCTTTTCTAATAGTTTAAACTGTATCATTTAAAAGTTTAATTGTAAGAATTAATTTGTATTATTAAATATAAATAGTTTATTTTAAAAATTTAATTATATAAACACATTTAGTAACTTACAAATAACTCTATATAGTAATTTAAAATCTTAAATAATTTATACTAATTTTAGAAATTATTTTAATGATAACTCACCCATATTTTTGAATTATTAGCACAAATACTTTCAATTCGTTCAAACATTTTTTTTAATAAAAATAATAAAAATTAATGTGGATTTGAAAAATAAACTCTTAATAATTTTTTAAATTTATTTTAACATATATGATATTTTTTTAAAAATATATATCATGTTAAAAATAAATTTTATAATAATAATAATATTACTACTAATATTTTTTCATAATATAACTTTAATATATAAATAAATAAAAAAACAATAAAAATTATTATTTAAATTATAAATAATTACAATGTTGTATTGAACAGTTTTATATAGTATTTCAATTTATGATGCTTACAGAAATAATATACAATTTTATCCAAATTTTATCTAAATGTTATATATATATATTGAGCTATATAAACAATTTAGAAATTGATATATTAATATACTGTATTATATTACAGATATTTCAAGTAAAATTATTGGATTTTTCAGTTATTTTCTTGCTAAACTAAACTATTATATTTAGCACAATATCTAATTTTTTTATAAAATTAAAATACTAATACTGCAAATTTATCACTATTTATAAAAATAATTAGTACATTGTTTTTTTTAACATTTTGAGCCTTTAATTAGAAAGTAATAATTAAAAAAAATGAAATATCATTTTTCTATTATTAAACAATATTATTGTATAAATAACAAACAAATGTTATTGATTTTTATTAAATTCAATTTTTTTTATCTCAAGTTAAAGTATTTGTTATTTTGTTATTTGCATCTATAAAAAAATATCTTGTAATATCTATACTATTTTATTATATTTATATCAATAATAATATTATTTATTTAAATTAATAACTATATTCAATGGTAAATTTCTTGGAAACATTTTAATTTTCAACTCTTTTAGAAATCACTTGTTTTGTACTGAAGGCTTATATATCATATTATGTTTATGGCAGTAGTTATGCTTATACTTTCAATGGCACATAAATAATATTGTAAATTAATTAGTTTTATTACAAAAAAGTATAATTTTATTATTTTGTGAAAATAAAAGTAATTAAACAATAATTTTGATATATATTTATTAAATATTATTAAATATTTTGTACTAATATATTGAACATCACATACTAATCATATACAGTATATATAGCATTATTACTCTGCATTGTTTTAGAAAATAGTTTTCATATGTAATTCAAAAAATAAAATATTTTAATTTAAACTATTATATGTGCATTTTTTACGCCGCAGTATTCTGCATTTTTTAAAATTAAATTTAAAGTGTTATTTTAATGATAAATAAATAAATAAATTGAAAATAGCAAATATAATAACAATATATTAATAAAATCCTAATTAAATTAAATTATTTTTAATAAGTTTGTATCTGAAATATTTTAAACACAATAAACCAATTTTTATTAATTAAATATTATTATTATAAATATTATTGTATTGTTAGTTAAAATATAGTAAGTTTCTATGAATACAAATATGCAAAATAATTGTTAACCATGATATATATTTTTAAATGATAAATAAAATTTAAATAAATTTATATTTGAAAATAAACTTGTATATAGTTAATAATATTTTTGTATCTATTGTTCATATTTATTATATTAAGTTATAATTTAAAAAAATATCTCTTTTAATTTTATTTATCATTTAAAAATATATATATCATGGTTAACAATTATCTTGCATATTTGTATTCATAGAGTTATATAGAAGTTATTTTGTACTCAAATATTTATTTGCAATAGTCTAACTAATTTATTGATAAGAGTTTAATTAGTTTTAAGCAATAAAATTTGCACTTTTTATTATTACTGTATATTAATCATTACAGGTAACATTTTTTGACAAATTTTATTACTTAGAATTTTAGAATTTTATTAAAGTATTACATTATAAAAATAATAGAGTAATAAAATGCAAAAAAAACTATCATGATATCAAACATTACTCATAACATTAAAATAGATATATAAGTTAAGCAAATATGATGATTGTTATCTATTGTATTATCTATTATAGTTAAAGATATATTTATATATATTATTTAAATTAAATATATTTTCAGTGATAAACAATTAGTTTTTTTATGTGTATATAAATTAATTTAAAAACCAGTGTTGCAAATGTTTTAAGAAATAACAAAAATCTTAGTGTGGGTCACAAATTTTTAGTGAATCTTTAAATGACAATTTATATAATTTTTAAGTAAATTCCCTATAAATTCTCTATAAATTCCCTATAAATTCCCTATAAATTCCCTATAAATTCTCTATAAATTCCCTATAAATTCCCTATAAATTCTCTATAAATTCGCAAATAAATTCTCTATAAAGTTCCTATAAAATCCCAGAATAAAAGAAAGCATATTTTTAATTAAATAATAAATAGTGCAAGGTGAATAAAGAAAAAATATATAAATCTATAGATATTTTACATAAATGATTAAACAAAATCGTTGATAAAATGTCATATAGTTATCATTTATTTATAAACTAAGTGTATTTTAGGGACAATTTTCTCACTGTATAAATAAATATAAAGGACTTTTAATTACAGATTATAAATAAATCTAATTAAACAAAAGTTCAGTTGATATAACACAATTGCAATGCAATATAAATTAAGTTTAAAAAAACTAAAATGAAATCACAATAAAACTTGTAGTTTTGATATTAAATAATAATATAAATATTATATATTTAAATCTAAATATAATTTAATTATATAGTTTATTAAAATATTGCATATAATCAATTTTGAATACATAAATAAGAATAATTGAACTTGGTGCATTAAATGCCCCAAAGTTAACATCAAATGGTATTAAGTGCACAAATAATTTCAGTATAAAATTCAGTAATATTATAATATAAAGCAAATATCAATAATACGATAAAATATTTTACTAAAAAAATTTAATTAACAAAATTATTTTGACATCATTTTTGTAGTTTTGTTTCACAAATAAATATATAAATATAATATTCAATTCAAACAAATATAYWTTTTTTTGTAAACCATATTCTTAGCTATTTATTGCTATTATCAATTAATTGTTTAAAAATAAAAGTGAGTTATGCAATATATGATTTAATAATTGATTTTTTTAAATATATTAAACTTTTTATATATTTTATTTAAAAAAATAATTTTTAATTATTATGTAATTTTATATCAATCGGATAATTAATATTACAAAACAAATATGTATTTTAGTAAAATAAAAGATATTACTGATGAGGATAGATCTAAATTACATGATTTATGTATTTAATAATAATTATTTTTAAAAAAAGTTAATTCATAATATTGTATAATACATGAGGATACCATTATAGTATTATAGTAATACAGTGTGTATATAAATATTTGATTATTTTTTAGGAAAATTGGAGGAAATTTATTACTAAAAAAATCATGATGTCAGGAAGGGGTAACCGGCTCACCCCACAATTGCAACCCTGTTTGAAAACATAAAATAAAATATTTTTAAATATTTATAATAATTAATATAAATAAAATAAACTTCGATAAATTACATCGATATTATGTAATAAATCATGATTGTATGTACAATATATAATGTTTAATATTTTACAAACATTACAGTAATTACTGTTTTATATACAATATATTGATATAATAGTAGTATTGTGCTGAAAAATATATTGACTTTTCAATTAATATATTTTAATTACAATCATTTGATAAATGATTTTTAATTAAATATTAATTTAATTTACTTATTTACAACAACAAAAATCTACATACAACAGGTGTTTATACATGAAAAATACCAGAATTTGATTTTATTATTCAAATTTATCATTATATGTGTAAAAACTTTTTATGAAAGTACTATTTTATTTATTTATACTTAACTTCATTAATAATAAATGATATTTTTCAAGTGCATCACAAAAAATTATTTATAACAAACCTATTTTATACTGAATAATTATTTTATAATCATGAATATTATCAAATAAAAAGAGTAATAATAATAATAATAATAATGAAAAATAAAATATTTTTATCTTTTATAGAAATTTTTTTAGTTATTTCTATAATAAATATAATAAATAGTGATTGGGTTGTAGTCTGGAAGGATGACTTTAATACGGATAAACTGGATCTAAATAATTGGCAATTTGAAGTAGGAAGGGGTCCTAATAATGATGGTTAGTTATAAATATATATCAATATATATATATTATCGATATTTTAATTTGAACATTACTATTTTTATTTATAAAAATATAATTTATCAATTTTTATTGTATTTAATTGTATTATTATTATAGGTTGGGGTAATAATGAATTAGAGTACTATACTGACGGCCCTAATGTCGCCGTAGCTAATGGTGTGATGTCTATCAATGTAAAGGTTGAGGACATGAATGGTGGTCAGTATACTTCATCGCGTTTGCATTCAAAAAATTCATGGACTTACGGCCTGTTTGAATGTCGGGCCAAAATGCCAAACGGCAAAAATCTGTGGCCCGCTATTTGGATGTTACCCGAAAATAATATATATGGAACATGGTCAATTTTCTATTATTATTATTATTATATAATATTTCATTTTGTAGATTAAATTTTTTTCCGATTTTTATTAATTAATTTCTATTAGTGTAATCATTTATGTCTTGATTTATATTATAAATTTTAAATACTTTATATATCTTTTTTCATATTAATATATAAAATATTAACAAATAATAATATCATTAAAGGGCTGCAAGCGGTGAAATAGATATAGCAGAGGCTCGAGGGGAACGACTTAATCAATTATTAGGCAGCATTCACTTCGGCGGTCAATGGCCTAACCATTTAGTTGCGACCAGCAATGAGGTCAACTTTACCGTCGATTTTTCGGCCGACTTTCATGTATTCGGAATGGAATGGAGTGAGACAACCGTGAAATGGACAGTCGATGGCAACCAATTTTCCATACAAGATATCAATCGTAATTTGTCTAACGGTGCACCATATACGAAAAATGGTCAACCATTTGACCAACCGTTTCATTTGATATTAAATGTGGCAGTGGGTGGCCAATTTTTCTCGAACCCACAGTACGGGCCAATGGTAACACAGGACGAGGCCAAACAATGGCCTCAACCCAATATGCAGGTCGACTGGTGTAGTGTATCGCAATTCACACCAACTGATACAACACTCGCTACTACTACAACACATGCACCCGATACCGTGACAACCCATCCACCTGATCCCGTGACAACCCATCCACCTGATCCCGTGACAACCCATCCACCTGATCCCGAACCTGCAGCTAATACGACAGATCCAGTAACTCCGACCAAAAAACCTGGTCCAACTAAAAAGCCGGGACCATCTAAAAAGCCGGGACCATCAAAGAAACCGGGACCTTCAAAGAAACCCGGACCGTCTAAAAAACCGGGACCATCTAAAAAACCGGGACCATCTAAAAAACCGGGACCATCAAAGAAACCGGGACCATCCAAAAAACCTGGACCCTCTAAGAAACCTACGCCAAAACGTAATAATAATAATAATAATAATCGCAATAAAAATAAATGTAATCCTAATAATAGAAATTGCAAACAAAAAAACTATAATGTAAAAGTTTAATGTTTTTTTTTAATTTTAGACAAATTAATAAATATTAATAGACAGAGATAATTAGTAAATGATTTAATCATTATACTCAGTTGTCATTATATTATATAAATAATCACATTAATCACTATATAAGTGAGCCATAGTATAGATAAAAAAAATATTTAAGATCATAAATTTAAAACTATTTATACTAAACATTTTCATAATTTAATTCATAACGAAATAATTGGATACAAATACAAATTTTTAAAATATTTATAAATTACTATTTCTAATTATGATTGCAGTAGTTTGTTAGTTATATTAATTATTTATATAAATTTATAGCTTAGTATTTAAATATTATTTATAATATACAAATAATAATAAATAGATACATAAGTTTGAATTACTATTTAATTAATATTCTTATATTGTTAGCTAATAGTATATAATATATACAAATATTTCAAGTATTTCATAATTTTATACAAATATAATTTTTAATTTATTTATGAAAGCCTTTAAGCACATTAAGATGAATACAAATAAAATGCAAAAATATTTTATGACAACAAATATTATAAACAAAAATAATTTAATTATCAATATTTAGATGCAAATATTCAGCAATAAAAATGCGAAAAATTTTCATCAAATTATTAATTGTAGAAAAGTTTAGATTCTCTCTGTTATCGGACTCCCGATGCCAGACACTGGGAAACGGTGTCGGTATCATATGAAGCACCGGTACATTAAGCTTAAGAAACGGTACATGGTCGTCCTCTATATAACTAAATGGGTGTCGGCTATTAAAATATGATGTCCGCTTACGACCACTATTACTGATTTCCATTAAATTTAAATCATTCAGTTTTTTCTCTTAATAACAGAATAACAAACAAACAAAAAACAGTTTAAATTATATATTATTATATATTTTAAAAAATGAAAAATAAATACCAATTTCCATAAGTCTGTTAAAAAGTGGTTTAGTATTTGGAAAATAACTATAAAACTTGGGATTTGCGGCACCAATCAAGTCAAGCAAAACCATGAGTTCAATCCTATCCAATTCAGATGTCTGTCCAAGCGATGAGTTTTGGCACATATTTGTCATACTTTTCGGATACTGTTTATGATTCCATTTGTTGGCCAAATGTCGGGAGCCGTACAATGAGTCCTCATTAGACCACTGGACCATTGCTTCTTCGCCATCGAAAAACACCATTTGAACGGTTGTCTCATTGTTTGCCTAAAATTATTAGACAACAATAATAATCATTAGATTTCAAATTACCGGTATTTGTAAATATCTTTTGATACTAAACATAAAACTAAGAGAAGTTTTGTTATACTTTTTTAAGGTATTTGTCTAATATGAGTCCCAAATGTAATATCATAGCACAGGGAACGGCTGAGTCAATGGCTCCGATAAATGTTTTTTCTCGATTCAGTTTAGAGTCATAATGACAGGACAGTATGATTCGCTTACAATGGTTGGGCTCTATTGTGGCCATTATGTTGTTGAACGTACGCCTTCCCAATGGTGTACTACTAGTAAACTTGTCCTCCTCTAGGCTCCAACCCAACGATTTAATCATTTTAATGATAAACTTTATTTATTATACAAAAATATATGGTTATAATATTTTATTTATATTTATTATTTTTTTTTAAATTACTAAAGTTAAAATAAAAATAATTAATAATATCTAAACAAACTTTTTGGACAGATTTGTGACCATCGGTTCCTGGACTCCGCGGTAAAAGTATTGAGTCCAATATAGATTCAAACATATCTCGATCTTCAAACCGTTTTGAGGCCAAAAATTTTATCTTATTATCCGTCAGTGGCTTTGGTTGATGTGTCAACTATTATGTAAATAAATTTTGTTTATTATATAATACAATATTAGCCACATATAAATCATTCATCGGGTCTTATATTATATTAAAAGATTGATTTAATCAGACTGTAGTGTTATGTATGGTATGGGTTAATGCAATTGTTATTGATTAGCAACTAATTAACTAATTGCATACAAATCTCTTTCACATATATATTGTATAATAAAGTCGACAATAAATCTACTAAAACACTAACACTATTGACGTAATCTTTTTTTCTATTGTTAAACAAATGTGATATAATTCTCATGAAATAAGAGTGTATTACTGTTTATTGAAGATTATTGGATTTAAACTTAATTACATTATATTTAAAGTAATAAATTGGATCAAGTGTTTGCTAAACAATTTATTGTGTCAGTGTGTGTGTGTTTTGATTTAGTGAGTAAGAGAGAGAGAGAGAGAGAGAGAGAGAGAGAGAGAGAAAGAGAGAGAGAGTATTAGACAGATATAGAGAGTGAATGAGAGAAACTTTATTTTTTTTAAATTAATGTTAATTTTAATACAGTATTATCTATATTCTAAACATTTTTAAAAAATTTTAAATTACAAATTAATAGAGACATTAATGTACTCAATACAAAAAAGCAATTTATTTTCCTTATAAATAATATATGCATAATCTCTCTCTTTCTCTCTCTCTCTCTCTCTCTCTCTCACACACACACACACACACACACACACACATACACTCACTCACTCACTCACTCACTCACTCACTCACTCACTCACTCACTTACTTTCACAAACAAAATTATAAACCTAATAACACATTAAACTTTTATACTTTTGAAATAATGTTTATTTTTTTAACTATGTCAAACTAAATAAACATTTATGAATATTATCATTTTTATAAAAAAATTATTATGATATAAATAAAAATAACCTTGAATTTTAAATATAATATTATAGTTTATATTTGATAAATATATTAATAGATTAATTCATTAATAATAATAATAATAATAGACATAAAATCTTTTATACAATAATTTTCAAACAAACCTCTCTGTAATCCCAACGCTTGAAGCGATTGTGTTGTTGTGATGTTTGTGTCAAACATTGTATACATAATAATAATAAACTAAATATTAAAACATTTATAAATACGACTATAAAATTCAATTTAAATAATTTTATTTTATTTAAAAAAATTATTAATGAATTCATTATTGTGACATTGTTTCAACAATTTTAACATATGATATGTAGAAAAATTGAATCAAATCAAAAATCAATTTTATTTATTTGAAAAAAATAAACTTTAATTATTAACTTCAAAAAAAACAAAAACTAAAAAACTTTTGACAACAATAAATAACAGGAAAATTGTGTATTCATATGACTGTCCTTAACATACAATACAATAGGAGAGAGAAAGAGAGTCTACACTTGTATGCGATTAACAGCTAATCGTATATAAAATATGTGTTGAGTCGCCGTCTAAAGGCATACGGCGTTGATATAGGGATTGACATTACGTACGGATACGTCACTCATATTAATGCATTCAATAGCACTATCAATATTAAGGCATTCAATATATTGAATAATACTTTATATTAAATTGTATAAAACATAATAACATATTGTACACTAATTTAAGTTTATTTTTTGTGAAAATTATAAATTTATTTTCACCTGGCTAATAGTTAGTAATATGTATTATTGTGAAAAAATGTTTTTTTGTTTAAAATTATTACTAATTGATAGATTAATTTTTTTATATAATAAAGTTTATATAGTATAATAATACAGCATAAGCATAACCTAAAGTATTTATATATTTTTTAAAACAATTATCAAAACTAAAATCAAGTACTTAGTGATGGCCTACAAAATCTTATCTATTTTTTGTAAAACAAATTATAATGATTTCTAAATTAATCGGTTATAAAGTGTATAACAATTGTTTCAACAAGTATTGTACTAAACTGTTGTTTTATATACATGTAGTAAACATAAAAAAATATAAAGTAATAATAATATTAGTAAAATAAATAAACTAATTAATCACTTAAATAACTTATATTAAGTTGACTTTATGGTATATATGTTACTATTTTTATATACAGTATAACATTAAGTTATAAGTTAACAAAATCTGTCAAAAGTCTATTTATTATACAATTAATTAACTGTATTGTTATGTAAGAAATATTATATTTACTATAGTTTACTATCAAAATACTTATACTCTAAATATACTGTATGTCTTAATTAAAATACAGTATAAATATCAATGTCAATGTGTAGGTTGTTGACATAATTGCTTATTTTTAGCTATAAATATACACTAATTTACCAATAGTGTAGTATTTAATAGCTAAATGAACCTGTATAGTATATAATGTTTATATCATAACTATTTACAGTATTATTGAATTAATTATAAGGTAATACATTTTTTTTATTTAAAATATTATTAAATTTTACATTTAAAAAATTATATATTTTGTGTTTAAACATAACAAAGAATTGCATAATAAAAGCATATATTGTAATTGATTTATTTGTTATCACTGTTTATATAATTATTAATAATAGATATCATAACTAACTAGTGAGAGAAAATTAAAATACCCCCTCCCCCTCCCTGTCCCTTAAGACCAACATATTTAGCCGGATTAGACTAAAATTAATCTTGTTTTTCATATTTACATTTCTTATTCATAATGTATTTAATATTTTTAAAACAATTTTTCATAAAATTATCAATAGTTTGCTCATTGATCTCAAATTGATAATATATTTCATTAAAATTCACACTTTTAAGATATTTTAGTTGAGATAATGATTCAAATGTTGATTTATTAGTAATTGTAACACAATTAGCGGCAAAGTATCGAAGTTTAGGATAATTGTTGTCAATATTGTTAAAGAATCCGTCATCGAGTTTGAGATGACCACCAATGGACAGGTGTGTCAATTGAGGAAATCGATGACTTTTTGTTAGCAAATGATTGCGTCCACAACTGTTTCCTATATATAAACTGAATACTTGGGGAAAGTATGCTCCGATTATGGCCAACCAGTTGTCTAATTGATTGACATTTGGGATGTCAAAGCTAATCGATAGGCGCCTTAATTGACAGCATTTTTTTCCAACAGTTTGTAAATATTTATTTTTATAAATCATTTTAGTTGTACTTTTGCCGTCTGACCTCAAACACAGTTCAACCAATTTTGGCATTTTTGATAAACCAATAAACAATTGTGACAACGATTGGTCGTCCATTCCCATTATCTGTACGTCCATTGATTGTATTTGTTGACCGCATTTATCGGCAAACAGTAGATACCAATCGGTATCGCTTTCGTGATAAACAAACTTAAATGTTGACAATCTTTTAAATGACAAGTTGTTATACAAAAATTGTTGTCTTAAATGTACGTTTGCATAGGCCGTGTCGTTCAATGATTTAATCGATAGTGATGTCAATTGTTTAGCAAATTTTGATAACAATTTGTATATCAATTTCATTGACAATCCTATCTCTACATAGATATCAATGTTTGTCAAATGATGGTTATATTTAGTGAATACATTGCAAATGTTTTTATTCATCAATGAATTCAAGTTCTGTCTTCGAGAGGACTGAATATGAGTAATATTGGGACACTTTTTGATGATTTTCTTCAATATCTGCCATTTAATTGTCCGATAAATTGGTTGTATTTTGAATGAAACAACTGTTTCATAAATAAATGTTTGCCATTGTTTGCTAACGCATTCATATCGGAACCGGTCGTCAGTTGGCAGATATCTGAGTAATAGTCGGCACAAATCATCGCCAAAGCGGTCAAAACTGTCTCTCGGGTAGCGAACCATTGATTTATTAGACATTATGTTTTTATTTAAAAAAGTTTCTGATTTAAAAAAAAACTATTTTAAATCTTTATATACCATTTGATAGTAATATAAATTGATACAAAGTCATAGTGACTCACATTAATGCTATAAATTATAATACAATGTAATTATAATACTAAATAACTTATAAATAACTTATAAAAAATAATTTACAGAAAAATTAATAAATTAAATAATATTATAAATAAAAATTATGAATAAATATAATAAAAAATAATTATTTTCTACAGTTGATATTTTTTTAGTCTATAATTTTTATGATAATATAATTTTTGATTTGTATTTTTCTATTGATATTCTGATATTTAATATAATATTTAAGTCAAGTGAGGATACAATTGTCAGCTTAAGCTTTAATAAATTTGATATTTTAATTCTGTACTGTATATCATATACTGTATTAAATAGTTTTAGTATAGATATATTTATACAATATTTTAATTGTTATATGCTTTCAATATTTAATAAAAATTATTAATAATAAATATTTTATTATATTGTTTGGTTATTTAGCTAGTAATATACAGTACAATATCATATATTTACATGTTAATCGTCAAAATAATAAAATAGTTGCATAAAATTATAATTTTAGCATTTAATAAACACATAAATCTAACAAAAGTATATAAACTTTATCATTATTAAAATTCCTTAAAATTTATTTAAAAAATCTAAATAAAGAATCGCAATAAAAATATTAGTGTATTTATTGTATATTAATATTGTATATGTATATACTGTATAAGGAATTGATGTATGATTTAGCAAAAATTGTCTATCAATTCTACATTAAAATTATAATATATTCAAACACTTTTAAAATGTTTTCTGAAATGCATAAATCTATGTCTGTATGTCTGTATGTCTGTATGTCTGTATGTCTGTATGTCTGTATGTCTGTATGTCTGTATGTCTGTATGTCTGTATGTCTGTATGTCTGTATGTCTGTATGTCTGTATGTCTGTATGTCTGTATGTCTGTATGTCTGTATGTCTGTATGTCTGTATGTCTGTATGTCTGTATGTCTGTATGTCTGTATGTCTGTATGTCTGTATGTCTGTATGTCTGTATGTCTGTATGTCTGTATGTCTGTATGTCTGTATGTCTGTATGTCTGTATGTCTGTATGTCTGTATGTCTGTATGTCTGTATGTCTGTATGTCTGTATGTCTGTATGTCTGTATGTCTGTATGTCTGTATGTCTGTATGTCTGTATGTCTGTATGTCTGTATGTCTGTATGTCTGTATGTCTGTATGTCTGTATGTCTGTATGTCTGTATGTCTGTATGTCTGTATGTCTGTATGTCTGTATGTCTGTATGTCTGTATGTCTGTATGTCTGTATGTCTGTATGTCTGTATGTCTGTATGTCTGTATGTCTGTATGTCTGTATGTCTGTATGTCTGTATGTCTGTATGTCTGTATGTCTGTATGTCTGTATGTCTGTATGTCTATGTTGTATACGATGTATATACTAATATAAATTAAATCAAATTTTAATTATAATATGACTTATATAGAGAATGGTTATCATCAATGAATATTTTTGTTATACTATGACTTATAAGAAAAATAGGGGTTTTATATTTAATATTTTTTATGTTATATTATAAATACATAAAATTTAATAAAGCATTTGTGAAGTATTATAATTATTATACTAATTTGTAAGTAATTTATTCTATTAAAGTTTATTTCTTGGCAATGCTTTCTATTACATTCTTAACTGGTTTTACATGATTTAGTATTTTTTGTGATTAAAAATATTATTTTTTTAAAATATTGATAATTAAAATGACTTGAATTATTTTTATTAATGTCATTAAGGATTAGTAGTTAAACTTGTTGTATGTTTTCAATAATAAGCTCAGACTAAGTCAGTATAATACAGTAATATTTACTATATATTTACAATATTATTAAATCATAAAATTTTTCTAATTATATTATTTTAAATATTTAGATATCAATTTTATATGTTATACTTATTTTTTATTTTCTTTATTAAACCAAAAATATTCACAAAGTATACATACAATTGATAATGAAATGCCGATAAAACATAAATAAATAATATCTAAAACATGATTGACGGCCAACGGCTTAAAATTGGCCACATTTTGGCTCAAACTGTTGTGCAAATACTCGGTGTTTGGAAACATTTTCACAAATATTTGTATCCAATACCCATATAAACCACTTTCTCTTAACCCTACGATTCTATAGTATTTAAAAAAAACATCAAACAAATTGTTATAATTAAATAAATAATAATAATTTTAAACAAATTAATTACATTATTATAGTAAAGTACAGTATAAATAATGTATTTTATTTTTCATAAATATTTTAAAATTCATTAATTATTGAGCTATTGATTCATGACTTACATAGTATTCAAAGTATTGAAAGCTTTACGATTTATTTGTTTTTCAGTTACAGACAAATAGTATGGCAACTGTCCGGCACCGGTAGTAGACAAATGAAAGCGATTCAAAAATTGTTTGTTATTTCTCGATATAAGGTTTAAATGATACAAAAGATCCCATTTGTCTGTTACATAGGCGTACTGTCCACTCGTTATTTTGTCAAATAAAAATATTTTGAAGTGTTCGTCGGCTTCGGGATTAAATAATGCCAATCGAGACCTAAAACTCAATGCCATTGGTGTGTCCTCTTGACGGGCGTATGTGACCAATGAGTTGGACTCACCAGTAAGTATCCATAGGTCATCCCTTGCGTATAAGTCATCCCATGAATCGATGACTATATCTGGAACTGCTTTAATCATATAATCTAATAGATGACTGCTGTAAATGATGGACAACAACATGATTAACATAAGCCACGAACCATACAATTGTTTTTCATAGATATGTTTGAAATTTAGTGATTTTGGTATTGATTTTTCAAACATTGATAATAAAATATACCATAAGTTTTTCATGTATTTTCTATTCATTAGTGATGATAAAATTGTAAACACAAAAATTGTGACAAATATTATTAGCCAAACATTTAGATCAATACATTTGAGATATGTAAACATGGGTTGTCTACCCGGTTGTACCATATAGGCTATGATACCACTGTCATCATAATCAATTAGTACAGTGCTAATCAAATTAATTGATAAAACTTTAAATAATTTTTGATAATATAATAAGTTGTTTGTATTTAATATAATAAGAAAAATATCAGGTATTTCTTTATCTAGACTTTCATAAAATTCATTTGTTTTTATTGGTGCCCTAATATAACGTAATCTAAAAATAATAATTAATTAATTTATTATTTGTTGTGTTTGTGTTATATATATATACTTACAAAATATTTTCTTTGATTGCCATTTCTTTCATTAACATAATAAGTGGTCCACAAAAAATTGGCCATAACTTAAATTATGAAAAATATTAGGCATTGATAATAATGGTATAAATGATACGGTTATATTGTAATTGGGAAACTGTGTTAATTGAATCGGTTTGGTTTCATCAACCAGTAAACAAGCTTTATTATTTTGCATTTTTAAATATATTTTATGATCAACTATAATATTTTTGTATAACAATCTTTATTAATTTCTAATAAGTTTAAAATGGTAGATACTTTATCTAYCAGAATATTWTCATGCATTTTGTATCATCAATTGAATTATGTATTTTAAATCAATTTTTGTATATATATATATATATATATATATATATATATATATTATATATTATATATATTATTTTAGAAAACACAACAATGTTAAAATAACGAMAACAAATTGCAATTATTATTATTATTTAATCTATAATATGGATCGCGCATTAACATTTATTATTGTAATATAATTTTATAAATAAAACATATTAAAACATGTAATTTTGTCTAAATTGTCAAACTAATAATTATTACTTAGTATTTCCTATTATAATATAAACATTTATAGTAATTTGTATAACTATTATAAAATAAAAACATGAAAATATTGATCATTTAATGATAACCTTAATATCAAAATAATAAAAAATATTTATAAATATTACAAATAAATAAACAAATAAATAATTGAAAACTTTTTTTTCATAATTATCGTACAAAAATTGATTATTTAAATATTGATTATTTAGGTGATATTAGATACATATTTTAGAAAATTGAATTTTTAATATATTTGAAACTTTTTTTTAAATAAGTTGTAAAATGTTTRAYATTGACTTAACAACATTTATTCTCATTTGAATAATTAAATTTGTATTAATTTATCATTTAATCACATCATAACTCAATTGTCACGTATAGTAGGGATCGTGAGTTCAAAGCTCATTAGTCCACATTTGACCAGTTAGTTATATATATATATATATATATATATATATATATATATTTAAAAAGTATATGTTTTAAACTAAATTGATTATAAATATTTACAATAATAGCGCAAAATTACATAATCTCTTAATATGACGTAATACTAGCATATACTGTAAACATGTACTGCATTGTACTGTACATTGAATATATAATTATAATATATTGTATAAAAATTGTTATACTTGTGTGCAATAAATTTTATGACATGTAAACAAAATATTTATTAACAGGTATWAGTAATACATTGTGTATTATTGCAATTTCTAAACATGACGTGTGTTTAAAAATATACTGTTATATTATATACTTTTTATTTAGTTTAACATTTTATCTRCAGTACTTGCTATTGTAAATTAATTAAATTTTTAATATAGTTTTTATTTGATTATTAATTTAAATAGTATTTTTTAAACTTTACACAAAAAGTTATCATTATAAACAAATTCTTCAATAATTAGTTTTTTTAAATAATTTATAAAAATTGTAGTTAAAGTTATAGTTTATAAAAGTTATTTAGCAATGTATTCAAGGGATTCATTTGATCGTTTTGGTGATGATTTGTGTCAACTAATTATATCTTATTTGCCAATTGAAGAGAAATTCATGTGTGAATCAGTTTGCAGACAATGGCAACAATTAATTTATTTGACACAAACAGAGCTTATCATTGATAGTAATATCAAATATTTGGCAAACAGTATCACAATTGAAAAGATACTGCAAAAGTGTCCAAATATTACAATCATTGATACTAATAAACGACTTTTACCGGACACCCGATCCTTCATTATACATATATTAAAATATTGTCATCAATTGGTTCAGTTTAAGGCATACTTATTAGGCGATCAACTGAACGATGAACTATTGGATCAATTTATGGAAAAGTTTGGGAAACAGTTACACATTTTTGAAGTCATGTTAAGTATAAATCAATCGGAAATCAAGAATTGGTTTGATATGAATGCCAACAAATATACAAATTTGTGTCCACTTATTGTCGATGGAAAGCACTTCTTGTTGATTGATATGTCCAGAGAGTCGACGACTAAGCAATTAGATGTCAATAGTCTTATATTTGATGACCAAAATCTAAACTCATTTCAAACAATAACCGAAAATTATTGTCAAAATATTAGATCTATAACTATAGTAATTCGTGATTTTGCTGACATCTCAACAAATAGTCTTTTTGATGGATTATCACAAATGAGTTCATTGTTTCGACTAAAACTTCATTACATCCGTCAATCAACTGATGCACTAATTGCTGCAAATCTTCAACAAATTGGCGCCAATTGTCCGCACATTAAAACGTTAGTGATTGTGGTTTTAAATACCGATTTGCAGACATCTAGCGAATCGTATACACGAACATTGGCCACAATTAACCGACAATTTCTGCGCCTAAAGCGATTGGATTTTAAATGCTATAATTCGGGCGATTTTGTGGTCACCAGTCAATCGTTGAATTGTTTGCAACAATTGACACACCTGTCAATTGGTGTCCGAAACAACTATGGTATCGATGACCAGTTTTTTGTTGATATTCACCAACATTTGCCTCGCATTCAATATTTACGTGTATTTAACACCCGAATCACTGGACAGGCATTTATAAGTTTATGTCAAATGAAACACTTGCGGATCATTCGTCTCTATAATTGTCATATTAAGTCTATTGAAGCAAATGTCGACAAATTCATTAATTGTTCAAAAAGTATTGTTAAGGTGTCATTAAATAATAATTTTGATTATTAGATAACATATTAATGCATATTATAACTTATTTTATGAAAAATATATTACCAGAAATTCATTATCATTAATAAAAATCAAGTTAAAAACAATATTTTTTTACTAAATACCTTTAAATTATAATTCAAATTATTTTTTTATTTTACAAATATTTTAAAATACAATTTTACAATTAATAATTTACCAATATTAATTTACTTTCAGTAACATATATAATAAAATGAAATCACTAATTATAATTATAAATTATATTATTTGAGAAAACTAATAAAAAGTTTATTTTTAATAATTTTTAAAAATATTTTATATTTGTGTTTATTTTATTTATTGATAGTTTTTTTCAGATATATTACGGTAAAGTAAAATATTGTTAAAATAATTAAGTATTATTAAGTAATAAATAATTTATACGAGTCCGGCATCTTTGGCCAAAGAGTAAAAAATTGTTTGATTATCAATAAGTAGATTATTAGGTGAATCAAACTCAGCCACCCGTCCCTCGTTAAGCACTAACACACGGTCTGAATCCATAATTGTGTTCAGTCTGTGAGCTATTGTAATGACAGTACATAACTTGAACTCWTGTCTAATGGTTTGTTGTATGAGTGCATCGGTCTCCACGTCCACCGCAGCCGTGGCCTCATCGAGTATGAGGACAGCCGTGTGTCGGAGCAAAGCACGAGCCAGACATATGAGTTGGCGCTGACCAACACTCAAGTTGTCTCCGCCTTCAGACACGTGATAATCGAGTCCTTTGTCTTGTGATTTAATAAATGACTTGAGATGTGAGTTCTCTAATGCTTTCCATAAGTCATTGTCTGAAGACTTTTCAAACGGATCTAAATTWGAGCGAATGGTTCCCGAAAACAATACCGGATCCTGAGGTATGATTGTTAGRCGAGAYCTTAACTCTTGAAGACTTAATTGACTTATATCTATGCCATCGATGACAATCTTTCCAGAAACTGACTCTATTAGTCTAAATAATGCTAAAGTTAGTGATGACTTCCCGGCACCGGTTCGGCCAACAATTCCGATCTGTTTTTCGTATTAAATATTTCTTAATAATTTTATTATTAATTTTTTATGTTTTATTATTACCTTTTCTCCCGCTTTTATTATTATATCTATTTTATTTAAAACTAAATCTAATCCTTCTCTATATTTTGTGCTATACTTTTGAAAGTCAATACATCCCATGTTTGGCCAATTTTCAGGTAATTGATTGTTTGATTTCCATTCAGCTTCGGGTTTAAGTTTACAATATTCATCTAATCTTTCAAACGATACCATACTGTCCTCAAATTGTGTAATAAGTCTACCAATAAAGCTGAAAGAGACGGATAGGCAAACAACATTTGCTAATGACATACCAGTGTCTCCGCCTTGAAATGTCTCTCTTTTTAATATAACAAACAGTCCGACAAAAAATACTAAAATACTTGATATTAAGTCGATTCGTATTTGAAGCCAATTGTTTGCCGACACATACGGATAGAGACACGACAGGTAAGTGTCGACCTTTTTTTCTAATTGTTTAATAAATCTATCACTACATCCATACGCTCTAATACTTGACAATCCGTTTATAGTTTCACTAAAATATGCATAAATTGGTGACCTATTGATTGACTCAAATCTACAAAATAAATATTTATTAATAAATTATATAAATTAATGTATTATTAATGTATTAATAAAAATAATTTTGTTTATGTATACCGTTTAAGTTGACATGATAATTTTGTGTAATAATGCTATAAAATTTTAAAAGCATAGTAAATAAATAATYAARTATGTTTTTATTTTTTATTTATTAAACAAAATATTATAATATAATTAATAAAATCTAAACGTACCTGAAATATGCAAAAAACAAAACACATCACAACTAGTGGTGCAATAAATAATGGAGTTTTTATTGATATGATTATTATCGATGCAATGCATTGCAATACAAAATCTAAAACAAATCTAAAATTGGATAATATTTTAATTATCGGTAAATAATTTTTGCATAAATAAGTATTATTAGTATAGAGTATTAAACTAATTACATGACATACCCTAATATAAAATGACTAAACGTATCTATAGTGTCGACGTCTTTACTAAATCTATTGACAATCCGTCCCAAAGGTGTCGTATCGAAGAACTTCATCGGAGATCTCATTACAGACCACAACATCTTATTGTGCATACGTTTTGATGCAACCAATGAACCGATTATCAGACTATATCTACCAATAAATAGTGTTAACATCTGACAGATGGTTAAAACTGCTAAAATTATCAATTGATAGCTATATTGTTGATGAACACCGGTATGTTTACTCCAACGGTTGAGCCAAAGATTAATCCCAATTATAAAAACATTTGATGCCATAAATAATATTAACATTAGTGTCGACAATATTATAGTCATTTCTTTAGCATAGTTTAGATAAACCTAATTTTAATAATAAATAGTCATAAATATTAGTTTTATTTTAATTTCAAATAAATATTTCTAATACACTTACTTTGAATTTGATTTCTCCATCTTCTATGTATTCCTCATCAATGAGTTGTTTATTTTCATTGTTTGTTTCAACAATATTTTGTTTTAAAATATTATTATTATTATCGTTTTTATTATCATTTTTATCTGTTTTATCTTCATTATTGTTTTCCTCTACTGAATAAAGTTTTACTAAATCTGAAAACTCATGATCTTCTTTGATTAAGTAATCATAAGAACCAATTGAACTGATTTTTCCATCTTTTAAGACAACAATTAGATCAACATTTGGCAAAACAAACAATTGATTTGTCACAAGAATTCGTGTTTTATTTTTTAATAAACCAGTTCTTGAATCCAATACTTCATTCATAATATGTTTGCCCACATGTGAGTCAACTAAATATTAATTTTTATATAAATAAAGTCTATTATACGATATTTTAGTTTAACCCAAGTATTACTTTATATAAAGCAAGTTATACCTGCACTGAGGGGGTCGTCGAGTAGGTATAGATCGGCATCGGAATACACAGCTCGGGCTAAACTGACTCTCTGTTTCTGACCTCCGCTCAAATTAATACCCTTTTCTCCGATTTCTGTTTCATCTCCAGCGGACAGTTGTCTTAAATCCTGACTGAGAGCACAACACTGTATAACTTTCTGATATAATTCATTATCCAATGTTTTGTCAAACAATATATTGTTTTTTAGCGATGCATTTTGTATCCACGCCTGTTGGGGAACGTACGCTATTTTGGTACCAATTTTTATATTGACATTTCCCGATAATCTTTCCATTTCACCAAACAGTGCCGCTAGTAATGAACTTTTACCCGAACCGACATTTCCTACAACTGCTACAAACGCTTTATCCGCTATTTTTAAATTAATATCATTCAATGTAAACGTATTGTTATTTAAATGATTGTTAATTGTTGTCCAACTGAATGATCCGTTTTCCACTCTAACTCTATACTGATCTTCATTATGATTGACAAAATCACTTTTAATGTCTAAATTAAGAAAATTATTCAATCGTTTAATGGCTACCGTATTCTGTTAAGAAAGAAAAAAATTATATTAAATAAATATAATTACTGTTATTTAAAAAATAATAATAATGTATTAACCGATATCAATGACTTAACCCCAAATGGTAAATAATTTAGACTGTATTTAATAAATTGACATAAAGACAATGAGACAAATAAATTTTCAGCATTCAATTGGTGTCCAGAGTCCACATAGATATATGTGACCAACGATACAAACATTATCCAATAGGGTGCACACGAGCCCAGTATAATGTAGGTAATGTCCAACATAGTGGCCCAACGCAATTGGCCGATCTCTTTGGACCGTAATTTAGTTAATATTTTGTAAAACGCCTCCTCCCACGCATATAACTATATCAACAAAAAAAATTGTAAAATATTTAATAAAAACAATAATAACATTTGATTACTATATTTTTAAAATACACAAACTTTTGCCACTTTAATGCCGTTTAATATATCATTTGTAAGTTGAATGCGTTGGTCTTTAATTTTCATTTGTTTAATAATAAACTGTTTCACATATTTCGATACAACGGTACAAATGATATATAATAGTAAAATTATGCCCAAACCCGCAAATGCGGACACTCCTAACTCGTTGTAAAGTAAGGCAAATATAACAACAATTTGTACCGGAGATACCAAAATAAATATCATAAAATTGAGTTCATCTGAAATATTTTTTTATGGATTAATTTAAAATATATAATAAGTTTAATACTATAGTAATGAAATTATATATATTTTTTTTAAATAACATAAATTTGTAAAATACCCGCAAATCGGGTGCAATCGATGGACATTAAACTAATAATCTCTCCGTTAGTTATTTGACTTTTGCTATTATTATAGTTTAATACAAGAGATTTGCGATATACGGCTGATGTCAGACACGATGTTATTCGTTGTCCTTATTATTTAAATAAATAAATAGTTTAATTAATTGTAATTTTTGAAAATTACAAAATTTTTATTAAGACATATACCGATAGTTTGTGTTTTTTGCATATAAAAACTAAACGTAAATGAATAGATCATATTTATTGCAATCAATAGTATAGTATAGACATATCCGTGCCATTGAGGCTCAGCCGGGTCTTCCGTAAAACGAATCATTAATCTTAATTAATCAAAAAAAAAATAATATTTTAATAATTAAAATACTGTTTAAAAAAATATTTTTTTATATATAATTACCGGATAACTATTGGTTGTGCCACTCGTATACAGGAGGCTATAATAAACAGTAAACTAATTGATAAATATGAGAAGCCATATGTTTTAAATAGTACCATGTACAAATTTGTCGATAATTTTGTTTTAGTTATATTAACAGTTTGTTTGTTTATTAATTTTGATAGAAATGATGGAATTAATACTTTTTCAGATGAACTCAAATCAGTTGGACATAAAGTGTTTGATTTTTTACTGTTTTTCCAATGTTTATCAAAACAATTAAAGTTATAAATTGTACTGTTTTTATGTCGAACAGGCCATATGTCAGTAATTTTCAATGATTTTTGTTTTAAAAACTTTATTAATAAATTATTCATCCAATGAAATGTTAGTTTTGATGGAAACGATGCCTTGTCTTCGGGACAAATATTATCATCATTTGTCTCTGTATTATCACTATTGGGTGGCAATTGGTCGGCAAATGAACAAAACAATAGTATGATTACAGTCAATGAAAATTGTATACAATATAATATGAATTCATATTTCAATCGCATAACTTGTGTGGCAAATGTGGCCACAGATAGTGAACCGAGAATAGTGTCCAATACCAGGTAAGTCCAAATACAGCCGCTATAGTGAATACCATATTTTCGGTGACAATAGAAAACTATACAAAGAATTAAACGGGTAGTGGTTTGTACTACTGTTGATATTAAATGACCAGTTGTTGGATTGTCATCCCATTGATATTTGCGACAAAAACATAGTATCAATTTGCTTAATGCAATCCCAGTGCACACAATTGTTATCAATAATCGGCTAATATTATAATAATTCCAATGAATTGATTTTTTATTGGATTTAAGACAATCCCATATCATATACGGTATACATAAAAACAAGAAGATTGCCGGCAACCATACAAATGCCGTTTCAATCATACATGAGCTCAATGTAGGTGATTGAGTGTCCCAGGATTGGGATTGTGTCTGTTAAATAACAATTATATACATTATATAAACAATATAATACTGTATATATACAATATACTAAATAGACTAATTTTTGTAACTTAAGTAAACTACATAATATAAAATAAAATACATATCCTACTTACAAATACTATTATATATTATGATAATTAAACAAACTATAATTTCAAGTCAATTATCTCATATTTATACTATATATTTATCTAACTACAGGGTATTATAATAATATATTCTATATAAACAAAATATCTGAAAAATAAAGATATTTATTAATAAAACTATTTACATAAATTTGATCTCATATTCAATTAAATCTTAATTAATAGATTAATGAGTGACAATAGTGTTAAAAATTAAACAATAATTAATAAAAACTCACCCAAATTGGAGAATCACATATTTGTTCTAACATTTTAATTTTTTATTAATATTAAATCGATTTTAATAGTTTATATTTATAAAGATTAATATTAATTATTGTAATAATGTTTTTGTTGTTGTATTTAAAGTCTATTGATTGTAATATTAATACAATTCTGAGTATTTATAATGTAAAATACTATGAGTAAAATACAAATATCATTGTAGAAAACATTTTTATTAACATATTTTTAATGAACATTTTATTGATTAATCACGACACAATTTATTATGATAACTTAACTTATTAAATACAATAGATTTCAATAATATACTGTAACTTAGTTTAAACTGTATTTTTATTTACATAAAATTTGTAAAACAGTTTGCTTATTAGTAATCAAATTATTGCTTAACACTTCATATTATAAAAGACTTTTATTTAATTAATTAATTTTTTAATTTTATTGTGACTTTTGATAAATAAACAACCTTGACAATAGTTCAGAATTTTTTTAATGGTATTTAACTAATGTACATAGATTTGATTAATCAGATTACATTAATTAAAATTTAGTAAATTAACATTATTTATAATTACTATATCATTAAGTAATGTAATTTTTAGTTAATATTTTCTTAAATAAATAGTGTATTAAAAGATATTTATAAAATTTATTAATCATAATATATAATAATTTTAAAAATTATAAAAAATTAGTTTCTATTAGTTATATAAATTTATATATATATATATATATAAAAAATTGTATAAATTTACATTTAGTCCACTTTAACAATGAAAATCCTTACTAAAAATTGTATTAATTTGTTATATGTCTCGCGTCTGGTTTTATATACGAGTTAAACGCTATTTTTATTTAAATTGTGTGAACAAACTATTGTTACTGTTCAACATATAATCACATCTACTGATGTATAAATGTCTAAAGTTTTAATATCTAAAATTTTCACTAAAATATCTCAATCCTATCAAAAGTTATTGCAACAAAACCTACTGGTTATATACGAATCAAATTTTAATAATTAAAATAATAATAATTTTGTAATATTTATATATCTATATATAATAACTATTTAATAATTAAGTTATATTAATAAGTTTTAAGTCTTAAGTTTTAATAAATTAAAATTTGTTTAATTAAAATAATGATTGTATATCTCGTTAGATAGTATTTGTGAAGGATTCACAAAAATTAATATAACGCTAACTGTTTATACTGTGAATCCTTCACTAAACCATGTGATCAAAATTAAATTCATACAAACCAAACAAATTAATTATATATATATTTTTAAACATATTTATAGTCACAACTTTATAGCTAATAATTTTGTATAATTATATAAAATTATTAAAAATTTATTGTAAAATATAAACATAATATATAAAACTAAAATTACCATTTAGTAAAATTTTTAAATAATATTTATTAATATAAAACAATATTAAATTCTGTGTATGTTTATGTATTAATATATAGTTTTAATTTGTATTTTTAAGTTTATTATTATAATTAAGTGTTTAATAAATAATCGTTTATATAATATAGCAATGCAAATTTTATGGCTATTTTATGACATTTACTGTATTTTAATAATCCCTAAAGTAAATTAATTGTGTGATATATTAGCAAAATAATATATTTAACATATATATAATTTACAATATATTAAAAACACATATAAAGATGAAGTGATTGTGTAAATATTAATATGACGTTGAATTTAATTTGAATATCATTATTCAATACAATATATTAAAACTATAACTAATATATAGAATTGACAAAAAAATTTCAATAAAGTTTCTAAAAAGATATTTCTGTCTATGGTATCCTAATGTTAATTTTGTTTTTTGATATTTTTTATTTTATAACAATACAATATGCTAATATATTTAATTTATTTATATTATTATTATTATTTCAATTAATATTAAAATTTAAAAAATAGTTCATATGATTAGAATTAAACTAAAAACTATAATTGAATTATGGATGAATTTTTGTAAAAACTATAATTATAATTAGATAATTATATTATAAAATTATTTATAGGGATCCCATTTGTACTGTAGTAGTTTGGCTTAAATATGTATTATTAATATAGTATTGTATAGTAAAATAGTTATAGATATAGTAATCCAATATTCAAATAGTAAAATAAATTTCTTTAGAAATTTATATTTAAGTTTTTTAGAGGACTTTCTATTTGCTATATCCAACACATTTGAATATAACATTGAATATAATAAATTTTTCTACATATACTATCAATTTAATAACATTATCTGCTAATATATTTTAAAATTATCAATAATAAAATAAACTTGATCTAAAAATCATATATAGTTATTTATTTATCATACAAAAATTATTTTTTAATAAATGATTTTACAAAAAAATGCAGTTTTTCTAATTAATTTTTATTTTATTTTAAATAACAAAGTACATTTTAATAAAAAAAATTATATACAGGATATTATCTGATTATTACTTAATACAATTATTAAATTATATAATAAATATATAAATAAACAAAGTGTCAATAATAATTTGTTTATTTATTACTACTGACGCCACTTTTAAAAAAATTATGAAAGATTAATACTAAACAAATTTTTTTTATTAAATTAAAATATTTTGATTTTAAAAAAATGATATTAAAATCATTAAATTTTCACAATTTTCCAAATAAATAATTAAGTTTTGTGTAAATATTAGTTTCATTTTACTACTTATTTAGTATATTATTATATTTGTTATATAGCTTATATTATTATTTGATTTGTATTTTTTCAACAAACAATTATTACAATTTCACTAATTACATGTAATTAAAATAGTAATTAATAATTGAAAATTTTATATAATGTTTAAAACTTTATACTTTATACTTATATTAATTGGAATTTTAAATTATCAATATTTATTTATCAATAATAAAAAAAATATTTATATATATTATACATATAAGGGAGAGAATGTTAAATAAGTCAATAAATAAACAAATTAAAAGTTTATCAAATTTTAATAACAGTTTAAATGAATGCTTTTCCTAAGATTGTTGATATAAAACATTGACTTTTTTATTATTTTTTATTAGTAGGAAATTGTAAACCAGTAGACAGTAAAATAAACAAAAGTTTTTGTCAGTTACTAATTTTAGTTATGAAATAACCTATACTTTCCACCAAAAAAAATCATATTAAGTTAATATTATATTTTACTGTATGTCTATAAGGCATAGATCTTAATCTTAACATAAACTTGTCTTAATATAAAATAATTTTTTAATCATAAAAATATTTTATTAAATTAATTTATATATATAATAAGTAAACAAAAAAATTATACTTCAACTATTATATTTAATTATGATAATTTCTAACACATTATTTTGCTCACAAAATTGGATTATTTAATAAAACTAATTGTTTTTTTTAAATTATATAATAAAATTTAGTATTAATTATTAAATAATTGCATAATAATAATATTAATAATAATAATAATGTTGAGCACAAACTTTTCAATTATTGATTATCTGGTGTTTGGCTTTCTATTGACGGCCTCATCACTAATAGGAGTATACTTTTGGTGGATCACCCGAAACAATGCCACAAACAGTGAATTCTTGACCGGCGACCGAAAGCTCGGTATGTTTCCGGTAACACTGTCATTGGTGGCCAGTTTTATGTCGACAAATACCATATTGGGAGCACCGGCTGAAGTATTTCAAGTGGGCACACAGTTTCTCCTACAAAACATTGCCATTGTTTTGTCAATTATATTAGCAGCTGAAGTATTTATGCCTATATATTATAAACTGGATGTCATCAGTATTCATGAAGTTTGTATTGTGAAAATTGTCATTATTTTTGTTATTATTATTATTATTATATATATAAAAAAAAAGTTTATTTTACAAAATTTAGTATTTGTCACAACGATTTAATTCTAAATATATACGCTTAGCCGGAACAGTTGGTTTCCTGTTGGCCACAGTATGTTTTTTTTAAGAAAAAAGATATATTATTTATTTATTAAATATCTATAATATTTTTTTTTAATTAGTATAATTTTTTTACACACATAGGTACCATATATGGCAGTGGTATTATACGGTCCTTCACTGGCATTGAGCTCAGGTATGCACCAGAAAAAATCTAAATATTAATATACAATATATTATTTTGTAATTTTAAAATGATTTTTTTGTCTATTAGTAACCCCACTATCCATACCTACGTGCATATTAGTTGTTGGACTTATTTGTACATTTTATACATCAATTGTTAGCTTAATTAATATATTTTTATAAGATTTATAGTTTTAATTAATTTAATTAAAAAATAATTTGTATTTCTCATTATAAAGGGTGGTATTAAAGCAGTTATTTGGACAGATGTCTTACAGTGTATACTCATGTTTTTGGGTGTACTTATGGTCATTATTCAGGTATTGTTTATTTAAATAAAAACAAATAATTTATATATATTTTTAAATACTAAATATTAATATTAAAAACTATTTAATATTATAATATTTCTTAAATATTAAAAAAATTAAATATTAGGGTATTATTGAGTCAAATGGTTTGTCGGAGATTTGGCGTATCAATGAAGAGGGCGGTCGACTAATATTTTTTAAGTAAATATCATTCAATTTGTTAGTATTAATAGAGAAATTTTTTTTAATTTGCTATTATTGTAATTTTAGTTTTAAGTTTGATCTGTACAATCATAATAATATATGGAATGTCGTGTTTGGCACAATTATCTATTGGACGGCCGTCTATTGTGTTATGCAAACACAAGTGCAAAGATATTGTAGTATGAAATCACCGCAATATGCCCGACGGTTTGCTATTTAATTAATTATATAATTAGATTTTTTTTTGGGGGGGGGGGGTAAACCTACAAAAAATTAATAGTTTATATAATTTTATGACTTTTTAGAACTTTGTATTGGAATCTACCTGGCCTTATTATATTTGCCGGTATGTCCATAATGTGCGGTACAGTACTATATGCCAAATATCATGGCTGCGATCCACTGACACTGGGCCTAATTGAACGCCACGACCAATTGATGCCGTATTTTGTGATGGACACACTGGCCAAATATCCGGGCCTACCTGGCCTATTTGTTGCTTGTGTATTCAGTGGTTCACTAAGGTGTTTATTTAAGATATGATTTTGTGTKTGTGTGTGTGTGTGTGTGTGTGTGTGTGTACAACAATTTTTATGACTTACTAAACTTAATAAACTATAATTGCAGTACATTGTCGTCAGGATTCAATGCACTGGCAGCTGTCACTTGGGAGGACCTAATCAAAGATCATATCAAATTGAAAAACGAAAAACAAGTTCTAACTGTTACCAAAATAATTGGTAAATATTTTAATTTTTATAAATATATATTAATTGTTTATATATTGTTTTATTTGTGTTGAATATACATTTAATATTAATAGCTATGTGCTATGGCCTACTGGCAATTGCCATGTCATTTGGTGTGGGCAATTTAGGTACTGTATTACAAGCGTGTATGGCACTAGTAGGCTCAATGGTCGGTCCAATATTAGGATTATATTTGCTAGGAATTTTTTATAGACGAGCTACAGCACCGGTAGTTTACATTTGTTGTTGCTATTGATTAAAATTTATTTATTTCTAAAATTTATTGTTTTATTCAAAAAAGGGTGTATTAATAGCATTCATATTGGGTGTATTGATTAGTTTGTCGCTATCGATTGGTTCGCTAGTAGTTCCCCGACCCAAGGTATCACTGCCCACCACTTTAGACAACTGTCCCGATGATGTTATACAATATGCTCACAATAAATTTGGTCAATTTTTGCCTAATTCAACATATCTTCTATCGTATGACAATCCAGAGTATGAATTTTAAAAAACAAAAATATTTTATTAAATACTGTTTCAAATAATATGTTTATTTCATTTGATATTTTTTAACATTATTTTAGAGGAATTGCCAAATTTTTTCACATATCATATCTAATATTATCGATAATCGGTTTTGTGGTAACACTAGTGTTGGGTATAATACTAAGTTTATGTATTGGTTAGTAAACTAATGATTTTGACATTTATAAATCCAAATTAAATAATTTTTAACAATAACTTTAAATATGATTTAATTTCAAACAAATTATAGGTAAACCTGTGAAGACAATCAATGAGGAACTGATGTTCAGCTTTAAAAAAGCAAATAAAGATTAATTTTAAGAAATTAATATATAGATAATATTTACAATAATTTTATATCATAACTATTTTATAAAAATTATTTAATTACCGTAAGTAATATAAAAATTTCATAAACTAATTATGCGATGATATAACCGTTTATTGAGATAAACATTAAAATGAAACCATTATTATAAAAAGCATTTACAGTAAATTTTTGCAATTTTAACGCATTATACTATCATTATTACAGACTTTTAATTTCTTTATATTTATCATTAATTTGTGATTTGATATTTCAATTACCGGTATACTTATTTAACATATTTTTAGTGGACTAATATTTTAACATATATTATCTAACAGTTTTATATAAATCTTAATATGAACAGTATGTGTTGAGATTTTTAAAACAAAAATTTATATATATATATTAATATATATATAGCTAATTAAAACAAAAAGGTAATTAAAATTTTAAAAATATATAAAAACTTACAAATTGACAATTTAAGCATTTGTTAGACATATGATATAATATTAAAGTAATTGCATTATTAATAAAAATAATATAATATTACGGTATAATAAAAAAAACTATGATATTTGATGATCTTTACAAACGTCATTCAATGTCGACATAATTTGATTAGCAATTTGACGAAACTGTTGCATATGTTGACTGAAATCGGTGTTATCATTGTTATGATTAGCCAATTGGTTAGCAATTTGTGGCAATTGATCAATGAGTTGATGAATATTAGTCCACCGATGATCGGGTTTAGTAATTGTACATTCGGTAAGTTTTGAACAATTTTTTGTAAACTCGGCGATCGCTTTATCATTCAATTCATGACGACATTCAATGAACATCACATGTTTCAGATGCTTAAGACGTGACAGCGATCGAAGTATATTATCGTTGACATCAATGTCAGCCATTCGGACGCACTGAAGACGCGGTAAATGACTCTCAATGTTGTCAAAGAAGTTGTTGTCGATATTGTATTTATTACATATCAAACATAAGTCTTGTAATTGTTTCAGATTCTCAATTGATCTCAAACTTAGGCCAGAGTTAGCTCTAGTATAATCAGTTAGTGACAAGTGTTTCAATCGTTGAAAGTTATCATTAATTGTTTGGATCAGATGCTGACAATACTGTGCAGAATTGGTCTCAAAGGCGAGAGTAAGGCTCTTAAGTTTTGGACAATTGATGTTAATTTTCATCAGTTGTTTGATAGTAAATATTGATGATATGTCCCAACTGTGTCTGAAATCAATGGACAGAATAATCAATGACGACATTCGCGACAAACCGGTGACCAATACATCAATATCACTGTTTTGACAATCTTTGCCAACAATAACATCTACGGACTGTATTTGTTGGCCATATTTATCAACAAATAACTCAAAGTGTGTATCGTTTGCATAACAAGTGATCAATACTTTCTTCAGTTTGCCAAACACTACATCAGTGACTGATTTCTTATAGAGATTTTGATTTGTTTTCAAATGAATTTCACGAATGTTTGGACACAACATGACATACTTGTTCAGTGTATTGATCAGCTCTTGACTGTCTTCCTTGGAATGTAGTCTCAGATAACAGGACTTTAATTGTTTGGAAAATCTGGCGAAGAACTCGTCCAATGAGTTCCAGTCAATTGGTTTATTCAGAATAAACAAAATATCAGTCAAATGTCGACAATGTCTTGTAATTGATTCAATCAGCGACTTCTGTGTTACACGAGTTTCATTTGCGGCGATCAACTTAATGGACGTAACGTTCGCACACTTCTTGAGCAACAAATCAAATGCTGTAATGTCTTCAAGTGTTGCTATCAATTGATCGTCAATTGTGAGCACCTCTTGTCCAGCAAATATCACTCTCTGCCACTGTTTGGACACCAATTCATAGCGAAAACAGTCGCTAAACGGCAAAAAACTCAACAATAGTTGACACAAGTCATCGCCGAAACGATTCAACGAGTCTTTCGGTCGATTTGTTGCCAACGATTGTCCGCTTAATGACAGTGTCGTCGGACACCGTCTCTTCATTGGTGACAAAGTAGTCATTTAGTTGTTTTTCATACTAAAAAAAATATCAAATAATAATAATTAGTTAATATTATTAACTATTGATTTGTTTGTTACAAAATGTTTTACTTTATGTAACTATCAATCAATCACTCAATTCATTCATACATTTCTATAATATAATAATAACAGTATATTATTGTTGACATTGTTTTTCTATTGCTAGACATAACTACTTGAGGGCAACACATGTATTGTGTATTGAAATATTCAAAGATAAGACCAATTTTTTTTAGTTATCATCACATTTTGCGGATCTATTTCTTGGTCATAGATTTGATATAATTTTGTGATTTAATTAAAAAAAAATCAAATGATTTTTGAAGTCCCAGAATGTTTGACAATGAAATAAACTATATCTATATACCTGTATATAACTGTTATATCTGTAAACTATTATATTATTATATAAGCTTATCATTGCTTTTTTGTTGAAACAATTTATTAGCCATATATTTAAATAATTTTTTTTGAATAAAAGTCATTTACCCGATAATCATAGATTAAGAAGAGTGTCCACAATTACTGTTGTGATCATCACTTCCCGATGACTTTCTCTGACGTGTCTGTTAAGCAATATTTTGCTGTAAAAGGCGAGCGAACAGCCCGTGTGGCGACACTTAAATGGTCTCAAGTCTTGATGTCGGTTCATGTGTTCGGCTAACAAAAAATTTTGGGCAAACCGTTGGCCACACGCCGGCCAACTGCACACATATAGCTTGAGATGACGGGCCCTGTGGTTCTGTAACATCTTTTTTGTGCAAAAACTTTTGCCACATTCGTCGTAATCGCAGAGAAACTTACGTTCATTCAGATGAAAAGCCTTGTGTTCGTCCAATCGTTGTTTACATTTGAATCGGGACTCACATCCGGGCCAATCGCAAGAAAACGGCCGAACCTGACTATGCGCGTGCATTGCGTGTCTTTTAAGCGCCGTTTTTGTGTAATAACTTTTGCCGCAATCACTTTCGGTACATCCGAATGGCCTCTCATTTTCGTGTCGCAAGTGGTGCTCATTAAGCGATTGCAAACTTCGGCTCTCATACGGACAGTCAGTGTAACGACATTTGAACGGTTTGTCTGTCGCGTGTGTCTTCTGATGAATCTTTAGATATCTTTCGACGGGAAATGTTTTCGGACACTCGGAACACATGAACGGCCGCTCATTGGTATGTTTAAGCCGTATGTGTGCCAACAGTTCGCCCGATTCGCGAAACTTCTTTCCACAGGCCGTCCATTGACAGCAAAAAGCCTTCACACGAATCCGTTGTTTCGGTGTTTGTTCGCCACTTGACTTCAGTCTTCTCTTAGTCCGAGTCTTTACTTTAATATTTTTATTATTATTATTATTATTATCACTAATGTTGTCCACAATATCATTGTTCACACTTTTGGTGTTTTTCTTCATTAGTTTATCATCACTATTGTCGTCCATTTGATGACATCTCTCGACGACAACTCTATCGTACAGTACTTCCAGTTCATTGAATTGTGTTTTGTTAGCAGTGTTTTCATTGCACAGACAGTTGGCATTAAACCCGAAGACCAGATGTCGGTATTTATCAAACAATTGCCGCAATTGTCGACAATATCTTAATTCACGCAAAAGTCTGTCGTTTTCTTCGCTCAACTCCTGAACCAAGTCTTTGATTAATATTTTAACCGACATTTCAATTAAAAATCATATAATAAAACAAATCAATAATAAATATTATATAATATTATATTTTTATTAAAGTTTTAATAAATTATTAATAATTTTTATTAAATCTTTATTAATAGTTAAGTACTTTTTGACTTTAAATTTAATACATAAAAACATTTGACAAAAAAAATGTAAACATTTATAAATGTGTTGTCATAGCAACATATAAAACATTAATGTTTGCGTAAACAAAGTGTAAAAACTTATTATTTGATTGAATTACATAATAATTGATTGAATATAACACACAAATATCTCTGATAAAAAATATGACCTAAAATGTTATTCCGGTAAAAAAAAATCCAAAAAATACACTATTTTTTATGTACTAATTATTGATAAAAAAAACTTCTATAAAACTTAAGACATAACTTTATGTAACTTTTTTTTAAAAAATAATTTTCATAAAATTTTAGAAAGTAAATTATCAAAATCATTAGTAATAAAAACTAAGTTAGTTATAAAATATGAAACAATTTAGTAACTTTTTATTTATTTTTTTAAATTACTGTAATTGAAAAAAATTATTTTATTTTTTAAATCTGTTTTTATACAATATTAAATAAACGATTACAGTATATATGATATACCGTATAATACAATGTATAGTTATAGTTTATCTAATAATAATCTAAAACATTAAAACTAATTCATAAAAAAAAGTTTTTACTTTTAAATATATTTTTAATAAAATTCTTATACAATTTACTGTTTCTGATAAACATTTGTTGTTAAACATTTAAATCATCAAATTATTATTTTTTATTAATTGACATAATTTTAAGGAAATGTATATGAAATAATATTTGTTTCTAAAATTTAATGTCATTTATTTTATTTTTTAATAAGCGTAAGCTATTTAATAATAATAGAAAGTTTTTATAGAATTAAGGTTAGCAATAAATAAGATTATATAAATGTTAAGAATAATATTATAGATAGTATTAATAATTTTTTAAAGTTATTAATTGATTACTGTTTTTGATATTAATAATGAAACGATAAATATTGTTGTGTTTTATGTATTGTAATTCTGGATAATTCTTAGAAATAATATGGAAAGTAATGCCAATATCTATATAAAGAAAACAAATAATAATATAGAATTGTTTTAAAATTTTAGTTTTAGAGAAATAGATTTTTTTAGTAATATATATATATATAAATAATGATATATATATATATAGTGCATAATTAAAATTATTTAACAATATCTTACTTCATAGGATCTAAAATAATTAATTGTAAACAATTTCCAACACGAAAAACCAATGTTATTCATTGACGTCCTTTCAATTAATATCAATAACTAAATGTAATTTTTTTTATAGAATTATATATATTATTAATATTATTACAATTATTTACAAAAAAAAAATAAAATTTATGTTAACCTTAATTTTATCACTAGTAGTGATACGATTTATGTTAGTAACTGAAAACTTATTCAATATTTTATATGTTTGATTAGCAGTAGAATTAATTGACGAAGTAATGTATATAATAAACATAAATATTATGGTAAATACTATAAAAACATATATAATAATAATTTTTGTAATTATATTCATTGATTTGAATATAATATCATAAAGAAGTATAACATCTGCCGATCCAAAGGTTAACCAAAAATAAAGCAATATTTTTGACCAAATTGTTGTGTTATAGTCATCGATCTCAGCAAACATACGATCAAACGATAAGATAATAGACGGTAATTGAAATGTTTTTCTGTTTATTATTAGTTTATGTAATTTATTTAATTTTAATTTCAAATATTTACATAATATAGTAAAATATAATAATTGAAATGTAATACTATTCCACCAATAATAACCCCAAATTGTAAATATAATTGCATTGGGTATACCATATAATAAAGCATAAGTTAGTGAATATGTTAATACATATGGTAATAGACATATAGATATATTAATAATTAGTATAATAATTTCACTGTTAAATCGACAATATAAACTGACCAATCTCATTTGTTTAATTAGTTTAACAATTTCATTGGTATCGGTTAGGCCAACACTAGCCGGTGTTACCAAACCGGACATCATTTTGAAAACAGCTAAAAATGTCGGTTTTATACCCATTTTGTGATTGAAAATAAATGTCGACTGCGATGCCATTGCTAACAATGTAATCATTATGAAAAATATATTATTAATATCTTTAACACCTATTAGATAACCCCAATCACCCAACAGTGCATACAATTGCCAATAATCGGTATTATTATCTAATAAACAAATTGTTCGTTCAGTTAAATAGATAGTAAATATAATCAATTGAAATACTGGTTTATTAAACCATTTTTGTTTAATTTGATTATTTTCTATATATTGCTGACATAAACCGATACGATATAAATGAAATGCCGCCGATTTGTAGATAATATTTGGTGGCAAATGTTTTGTGACTTTAAAATTAGACATTTTATTATTAAGAAAATACAAAAAAATGAGTTAATCAATTAGTACTATTATATTAATATAATTTAATACTATTTATATTATTCAATATATCAATAGTAATAATAATTAAAATTAACAAATATTAAAACAGTACAACATTTTTGCTATATGTACACTTTATTTAGAAACACATTATACTAATACTATTTATTATATACAGTATTAAATATTAAACTTTTGTTATTTTAATATTTTTTGAAATTATTATTGTGTTTTATTTATAACTAGTTATAACAATATTTATTGTAATATAACATATGATACACAACAAATTGCATGATAATATTAAATATATTATATTTATGAGTAATAAAGTAAACACAATTAAATATAACATTATTTATAATATATAAATATTTTAAAATAAATTATTAACAATATATATAAATTTATATATCAATATATTTAATATATACAAAAATATAACATGTTATTATATAAATTCATTAATAAATATCTAAAAATTTATTTATAATTTAAATAATCAAATTGCAATTAACTAACTTAGGTTTATATTATTTATATAAATACTTTTATATAAGAAAACATTTTAATTGCATAATATTATATCAACAATAATTGGAAGTGTATTATGAAATTTCATTGACTAAAACAAAAACATATAGAATAATAATAATTAATAAAACTATATATACTTATTATTACTTTAATATTTGCTCTAAAAAATTCATTATAACTAAAAATTAGTTGAAAAATAATTCTTAACAAATAATTAAAAAATTCAATTATAATATGTAAACGTAATTATAAATAACAATTAATTATCAATGTTACCCAAAACAATACAATATTAAATATCTATTTTTATAAACTCATTCAAAACAAGTATAGATTTTATTTAAAAGTATTTGTTAGAAAATATTATTTAAATCATTTATTATATGATCATAAACATAATAATTTTAATATATCTACAGTATTACAATGCATTAAATTAATTATTATTATATTTAGTAAATTATATTTTATTATAATAATATATTATTAATTATAAGTAATAAAAAGCAAAACAATTTTTTTGATGATACTAAGCATGTAATAATTTATATTATTATTAAAAATATAAAAATAATATAAATTTACAAATTGACTATATTGGTTAGAACAATTTTAGTTAATTACAATTATTAAAAATTTTTTATTTAAAATTTTCAATAATATTTAATAATTAATTTATCCGTTTGTTTAGCATTTCTTGAATAATTTTCAAAAACAAAAACGACATGTATACCAATATCTATTTTTTTAAAAAAATTACACATTACAATTAAAAACATTAATAGTTATTATTTTTAGACAAATATTTTTTTTGCTAATAAAATTTTTCATAACAAATACAAACCTCATACGCCCGAAAATAATTAATTGTAAATAATTTCCAACACGAAAAACCAACATCATTCCTACCCGTCCTCTCTATTAATACCATTAACTAAAAAATACAGTATAATTGAAATAGTATATGAGTTTAAAAAATATATAAATTTAATTTTATGTTTTTTAATATATACTTTTATTTTGTGTTTAACTGTAAGGATATGCTTATTGGAGACTAAATATTGATTTAATATTTTATAAGATTTGTTAACAGTTTCAGTGACGGCAGCCGTTGTAAAGATAATGAACATAAATATAATGCTAAACAAAATCAATACATAAGTAATGACAAGTCGTGAGATAATATTCATTGATGTAAATAATATACTGTAAAGAAATATAACGGATGCCGAACCCAAAGTCACCCAAAAATAGATCAATATCTTTGACCAATAGGTACTGTTGTAGTCATTGATTTCGACAAATAAATTATTAAATTTATTTAAAATATATGTTATGCGAAGTTTGTTTTGTTGGTTATGGTCTGTAAGGATTAGTTGATATAGTGTTTGCAATTTGTAATTCAAGTACCGACACATTATGAACAGATAGATAATCTGAAATGTAATACTATTCCACCAGTAATAACACCAAACTTGAAAAAACAGTGCATTGGGTATACCGTAAATGAGAGCATCAGTTAGCGATAGTGTCAGTAGATATGGTGCCATAACCGCACCGATAGCGCCAAAAGTTTGCAAAATCCAATCATTATTAATACGATTAAGTCGACAGATTAGACTCATTTGTTTAACAAGTCTAACAATTTCGATGGGATCTGTTAGGCCAACACTGACTGGTGATATCAAACCGGACATCATTTTGAAGACATTCAAAAATGTTGGCGAAATGCCGTTAAGAAAATTCATTAAATAAGTCAATTGTGTCAACAAAGCCAACAGTGATATCAATATAAAGTAAATATTATTAATGTCTTTAATGCCCATTAGATAACCCCAATCACCTAATAGTGCGTAAAATTGCCAATTCTGGTGATCAGTAAATAAACAGATGAGTCGTATGAATAAAAATATTGAAAATATCATAAACTTGAAAAAAGGTTTATTAAACAATTGTCTCTTA